GGCGCGCCAACTGTCGAAACTAGATTTCGACAATAATAAAAGGGGGTGGCTATCAAGCTAGGAAAGTGTATGGGTTTGGAGACAAAGGATTTATACAGGTTCAGGCCTTCTTATAAAAGAAGTAATACCCTACTCCTGTCCGGGGATGAATCCGCCGAGTGTGTTATTGATTGTATGATTTGGAGAAAATTCAACCCCTGCCCCTAGAGGCACCTAGACCCCCCTTATATATATGGGAAGGAGTCCGTATTACAAAAGAGAATACATATCCCTAACGGAATATGCAAACACAGACAAAATACAGTCGTAACCAACTAAGTCTCAAGGTGTTTCCTTGTTGTACAAGTTAAGAAACAAACCCGAGATACAAATAAGATATTCTATACATATTCGGTATCCTATGTCCAGCCCAAATAGTATCGCCGTGTAGATATGGGATATCCATAATCTCCACACATTTCTATAATATATAAAATGTATTCACCTACATATCCCGCGGCAAAGCACGGGGTATCAACTAGTTATACTAATTTCAGTGTTCTTATTGTCTTTACGTATCAATATTTATTGTTTGTTCCGTGACATTCTTAGAAACGGAAAGAGGAATCAATCACGTACTTTCTCCGTTTCACAATGTAAGTCATTCTAGCATTTTCCACATTTATATTGAAGTTAATGAATATAGATAGATATCTATCTATATTCATTAACTTCAATATAAATGTGGAAAATGCTAGAATGATTTATATTATGAAACGGAGGGAGTAACTAGCTAGGCTACGACAAAGGCATTGGAATTGACAACGCAAAAGCTTAGACCCATCTAGGACTAAGCTTTGTAATTAGGCATATTGTCAAATTATTGTGGCGGTTAATGTTTTTATGTTGTCTTTTAGTAGTAGAGATTTATGCTGTCATGATGATCAAGACCCTTTAGAGCTGGTGATGTGGTCGCGGCACTATTCTCACCAACTGAGTTAGCTGACAAAGGTGCCGTCAATGTTCGATGGATACATGAATAAATTATTCTTAGCATGTTTAAGGTTTGTTATCTATTCCTCTGCATTTTTTATATCCAATTCCCTCCACGGTAATTAATTATTTTTAGGAGTGTTTCAGTGTGTGGTTCAAGAACTATTTTAGTATTGATTTTCATTTTGCCGAATATCTGCTAACAAATTTATACACGGGAATTTAGTATATTCAAAGTTTATACGTATAAAAGTCTCTATGCAAGTATAAAATATCGGTGTATAAAGTTTTATGTATAAATATTTTATCTATAAAGTCTATGTCTATAATTCTTTTGATTGCCCGCACTCTGTTCGTGGGCTCAAATGCCGACTAGGAGAAAACATCCTCCCACCATTCCATAAAAATCTAACCTACAAATCTAATACTACGAATGTGATATATTCTAATACTACGAATCTGCTCAAGGTCCAAGCAAGAGAGAAAATTTGCAATCGCACGTACACTGTTTTGTCTTTTTCACCGCGTGCTCGCGATGTGCGTAATCACATGCCCATCAGATCAACCCCTCAATTAGTCTTGCAATGAAGAACGAAAGGCAATAATTGATACTCCCTCCATCTACTTTTGATAGTCATATTTCCAAATATGAAAAATTTATTTTTGATAGGCATATTTCAATCCAACAACTTATCATCTTAATGACTTTCTTGTATTTAATGTGTGACTCTCCTTTCTTCCACACAAGATTGGCTACATGGGCATCGAGAAATGTAAATATTAATGAATCGCATGTTTACGAGTAATGACTAGTAGCATGTTTAAAAGGATGATAAGTAGAATCACTTATCCTTGGTCTGCGTGCCAAGATGAAATATGACTATCAAAACTAGACGAAGGGAGTACTAGGTTTCTATTGGTTTCCGAATTTATCCCAAGTCGCCGGAACTACATGTAAATTTTAATGTTAATGTTACTGTATATGATTTCTAGCATGATTTTCCAATGGTTTGTATTAGTTTGTAAGTCTTTCGATTATGACTTGTATTGTAAAGTCTTTTGGATAATAAGTAGTGGATTTGCATATGATTTTCAAATATCTTGCATCGGTTTTATATTTCATAACATATATTGCCATAACGTGCATCGCATGTGTATGATTACAAGTGAAGTACAATCATAAACGTTAAACAAGGAAAGATAAAATGCTCCCTTCTAAAATTTTCATAAAAAGAGGGAAAAGAAAATGAGATAGAAAGAAACAGAGTTAAATTTTGCTATGGACCAATAAAGGAGTCAAGGAGAGATCTTGTATGTGATTCCCAGTTTTGTACACTAGTGATGTGAAAAAAAATAAGGTTGGACCCAAGGAAGAACTTGAGTCAATGATTTTAAGAGAGGTAAATATTTCCCCTGGTGAGCGCGCTCGACAAGGGTCGAACCCAAGCTGGTGGGGTGCATGCCAGCGTCCCCTGCCACTGCTACACCAGTGATGTGATTCCCAATCTCAAGACTGGAATTGTACTCACATGATCTTAGGCCTTCAATCAAACGCAATAACTTTATAGAATTCGATTGGGATTTTCATATGAATTAGTTTTATTTTTAAAAAAATCAGAAGAAATTATAATGCGTTCAAAAGAAAATCCTAGGGTGGACGTGAGGAGAGAAGACTTTCTTTTTCTCTACAGTCATTTTCTTATATGACTTCTTCTATGACTCCGACAGTTGGACAATTCAATACGAGGGAAATCAGGGCCCCAACATGACTACGCTCTGTTGATGCATGTGCATATTTATTTTCACATTCCCTATATTAGGGGGAAATGATAAAATGATTGATCTATTGGTGAATAAGTGAATGTATCACCTCATGAGAAAGATGGCAGGACGCCAGAACCTAGTAGAAATATACTGTGTATATATATATACACATGAGTGATCTTTAGAAAGTCTTTACATGAAAGAAGATAATTAATTCTAGGGCTTGTTTGGTTTGTAACCAAACTCAGCCACGCCAAAATGATTGATAATGCCACATCTGTTTGGTTTGTAAAGAAAAATTGACATTGCCAAATTATTCATTAATTGTCTTTTGGTTGAATGTTAAAATTGGCAAATTCTTACAATCGCCAAAAAGAAAATGACAAGGCTAGGATTGCACGCGGAAGCCATTCGATCCAAAGAAGCCCCTAGTCCTCTAGAATCACAATGTCCCCATATATCTTCTTGGATTTTGGACAGTTGTTTATTTCGTGGATATAAATCTTGCAATACGGTGAGAACCTCTCAAATAATCGTCCATACTTCAAATGGACGTATTATAATATACACTCTTCGTTTTAGGTTACAGGATAGTCAAAATCAAATTACTTCAAGTTTAACTAAGTTTATAGACAAATGTAGTAATATTTACATTATCAAATTAGTTTTATTAAATTAATAATTAGATATATTTTTATAATAAATTAATCTTGTGTCGAAAATATTGCTATTTTTTTCTATAAATGTGGTCAAACTTGACTTTGATCAAATCAAAACGTCTTATAACCTAAAACGGAGGGAGTATTGCCAAAAAAAGCTAGATAACCTAGTTTTTACCTATAAGATATGTGTAACCCCAAACCAATTTTTTCGAAACACAAGATCGCATCAAAGAAGCACTCCAGCCTCTACAGGCCAAACTTATTACAGGTTTTAACAGCAACTTGCGTAAAGCAAAAAAAATAAATGGTGTTAATTATATATAAAAATGCAACAAGTTTTGGCCTCTGCAACTTCGAAGAGATTAAAATCTTCAAAAGTACAAAACAACTTGGAATGAAGTCATGAGACCACGTTACTGTCGACCCTCCTATTTGCCCTTGTGTGCTACATGGATCACATACAAAAGTTCAGCAATATGGGATACAGTATAATACTACTCCTATCATCGATCACAGTCCACAAAAGACAAACAACCTGAAGCCTATAATACTATATGCTCCCATTCATCATACCCGTATTTTCTTAACTGTCATTATTCTTGTTTTAATTTGCAGCAACCATCTGTGATCTGCCCTATGGCCACGTGATAATTACACGTCGGCCACGCGCGAAAATACCCTAATCCAACCATTTTTTATCACTAGTATTAGGCCCGTTTGAGTACACTAAATATTAGGATTAAATACAGACACATAAAACGAGAAAACTATTAGTACATAAAACGAGAAAACTATTAGTACATAAGTAATTAAATTTAATTATTTTAAACTTGAAAAATTAGTTTATCTAATATTTTTGAAGTAGCGTCTATCTAAAATGTTTCCGTACCATTAAGAGCTCCTTTGAATCATAGCATTGGAAAAATGGAGTAATAGAAAAAAACACAGAATAGGAATCCAAGTGTAAAATAGAGAATTGTAAAAACATAGGAAAACACACATGGAAGCGTATGAGAGAGATAGATCCAAAGAAAATTTTCCAAGAGATTTAAGCTTTTACTAAGTTTTCTCTAAAATCTATATACAATGAGCCATTTCATATGAATTTTTAGGGTAAAAACGGTCGGAAATGGTCACAAACGGTATCATTATTTTATAATTTTTTAAAACAGACAAAAATGGTTGGGAAATTTCCATATTTACCAATGCCATGCAGACATAAATTGGAAAAACTAAATTTTAAAAGGGTAACCATCAGTAAAAATATTATTATCATATTAATTTTACGGAAACGATATCGATAAATTTCATATGATTCGGAAAGCTTAAATCTTTTAATCAAATGACCATATAGCAAAAATTTCTATAAAATCTGAATCCTATAAAATTCGTACATAAAATACTTTAATTTAAAGGGGCGCTAAGCAATTTAAAAAACGCGCTAACAAAGATGGAGATAAAATTTGTACGAGCGAAAAGAACTACGGATTACAACTGCTGATGGGCTCCCATTTGCTAGAGAGAGAAAGTCACTATCCAAAAGAGAGAGAGAGAGAGAGAGAGACTCATAGGGGAGGAGACCGGCAGAGGAGTAAAAGTCAACCATTGCCTACACACCCACACCCCAGTACCCCACTATAGCTGGATGACTCGCGGAGCTCACCAACGTCGCCACGCCCTCTCGCCGACCTCCTCCTCCTCCTCCTCCTCTTGCCTCCTCCGCTGAGGCAGCCAGTGCGTGCGCCGCGCGGGCAGCGTCGGCATTAGAGGGGTGGTGGCGGGCGGCGCGCCGACGGAGACGCCAGGTGATTCTTCTTGATTTGAGAGGGTGTGGTTGGGTTTCTATTTCTTGGCATCCGCGAATTTTTAGTTAGTGGGATGAGAAAAGGGGCGACCTAGTTGGTTCGAGATCGAATCTTTTTATATAGCATCTCGGTGGAAGAATGCGGGTCTCTCTGTTTGTTGCTGCGGGGATGATCTCTGACGACCACCATTGATGCTGATGCAGTCCTCTGTTTGTTCGAGAATCTGTGTTTGAGGCTGCCTGGCTTTGTGATTCGGATTGAATTCGCCTCCCGTCGGGGTTTCGTTTCTTGGGTTCTCTCCGCAGAATTTGTCGGCCTCAGGGGGAAAAAAAGGGTTTGAAGTAATCTTGATTCTTGAATCATTATTGTGTGCTGTTTTGCCATTTTTGCTGAATTTTTGGTCGGTGATTGTTCTGCAAACGCTCAAGTTGCGTAGGAGCTGGAATGCTGGATGTATAAAATGATTTTTCACCTTAGAAACATGATTAGTGGATTAGTAGCATGCAGTATGAACCATTTAACTCGGTGTTTACCCCCTGATTGAGTAATTGCCTGAAACGAATGGGAGTAATTCTTGCAATGTTAAGGAAAAAAAAACTGTAACTTTCAGAAAAAAAAACTCACTCTGTATTTTCAGTACATGGGTCTGATAAGATTCAGATTAGTACAGAGTTATTAATGGATAAGTAACAGGAAGTATGAACCATTTAACTCGGTGTTCTCCCCCTGATTGAGTGATTGCCTGAAATGAATGGAGTACTTCTTGCAATGTTAAGAGAAAAAGAAAGAAACTGCAACTTTCAGAAAAGCTCACTCTGTATTTTCGGTATATGGGTCTGATAAGATTCAGATTAGTACAACGTGTGCTTTGATGAGAAATATACACATTTGTTCGGTATGGATCTGAAGGAGTGCCCACCTTGTGCCTGTCAACTGGATCCAATCCCCTTTGACTTTGAAATAGATATAAATTTTGCCAGCTGTGGCAATTGCTGGAATTGATTTGTAAATTGCTCCCTTTGTTTGGCTGCCACGCAGGGTGTGGAGGAGGGTCTGACCCTTCACTTGGTGGTGTGATGTCGGTTGGGTGCGCCGATGAATTGCATTGACTGGTTTCACCATTATGTTTTTTTCCCTGTACTCCACTGGACATACTTTAATGCAGTAAACTAGTGATGCAGCAAGTTGATTAGATAGTGTAGAACTCACTAACTAAAGAATTTTATATTACTAATGCTGATGCCAGTTTCTTATTGTGTGGTCAACCAATTTGTTTTCATGGTCAAGTGGTACTGGTAAACGGACATATATTTGTTTACACAACAATGGTTGTGACATGAGACTACTTATTACAGTAACTCTGAGTCTCTGACTGGTTGTTCCTCATCACCAAAAAAAAAAAAAACCGTTTTGATGTTCCTCTTTCTTCTGCAGATATTCAGCAGAAGGCACTTCCTCTGTTTGATTTGCAAAAATGGCTTGCTGCTTTATGTTTGGGAATGATACAAAACAAACTAGTGAAGGTGAACAAGGTGGGCATGTCTTCATTTAGTTCTATAGTCTCTTCTGTATACAGAATGCTCCTCATTCTGATACATTTGTTGACTTGCAACTTGTTTCTGGCGGTTTCAGGAGAAAAAGCGGTCAGGATTTTTTCTTACAATGAGCTGAGAAGAGCTACACATGATTTTAGTGGGGCGAACAAGATTGGTGAGGGCGGCTTCGGTTCTGTGTTCAGGGTAATGTACCAAAGCCTTTGGTCGCTTCAACTAAGTCTAATATCCATTCTATATTACATCGACCTCACTTGCTTAAAATTCATTTTGGTTGATCAGGGAAGGCTCAGAGATGGGACAATAGTTGCAGTAAAGGTGCTCTCTGCTACTTCAAGGCAAGGCGTCCGTGAGTTCATTAATGAACTGACAGCAATTTCCGATGTGATGCATGAAAACCTAATTACGTTAGTCGGCTGCTGTGCTGAAGGGTCTCATAGGATCCTTGTATACAATTATCTTGAGAACAACAGCCTTCAACATACACTACTAGGTAACATACTGGTCTACCTAGTCTGTCCTTGCTTAATCAAGACACTCTTTAACAGTAACCTCACTCACATGGCAATGCAGGGTCAGGCCGTAGCAACATCCAATTCAATTGGAGAGCTCGTGTCAAAATCACTGTAGGTGTTGCCCGTGGGCTTGCATTTCTTCACGAAGAAGTTCGTCCTCACATAATACACCGGGACATAAAGGCAAGCAATATTCTTCTCGACAAGGATATGACCCCCAAAATATCTGATTTTGGGTTGGCCAGGCTCCTCCCACCAAATGCGACTCATGTGAGCACCCGAGTTGCAGGAACAATGTAAGTTTAACTGTGTTTAGGGGGTCTTTTGGAAATTCCTGCATAGATATTCCCCATGTTGTCTTACTCTGTCCTTTTATTTTATCAGAGGGTACCTAGCTCCTGAATATGCACTCAGAGGACAAGTGACTAAGAAGTCAGATATCTACAGTTTCGGTGTTTTGATCTTGGAAATTGTCAGCGGCAGATGCAACTATAATTCTAGGTTGCCTTATGAAGAACAATTTCTGCTTGAGAGGGTAAGCTCTACCATAATACCATACTAAAGAATACTGACAATTATTATGTTTATGCATTGACGTCCGGACTCCAGACTAACCTGTAAAGGTTTGCCGGTGCTCTTGCAGACATGGACATGTTATGAGCAAGGGCATTTAGAGGAGATCATAGATGCAGATATAGAAGATGATGTGGATGTCGAGGAGGCATGCCGGTTCTTGAAGGTTGGACTACTATGCACTCAAGATGCGATGAAACTCCGTCCCAACATGATCAACATCGTCCAGATGCTGACCGGAGAGAAGGATGTCAACACAGAAAGGATCACCAAGCCCTCTGTTGTTGGTGACCTGGGAGACCTGAGAGGTAGCAGCCAGCAGAGACCAATTGATCCACAGTCTCTCCTGATGAGATCCTTTGCCACCACTGACCCATCCACATCATCAGACACGACTACACGATCATCGCTATGAAAAGAAAAAAAAAGAACTTTGTATCAACCAACTTATTCCATTTGTAAATTGTTATGCTAGATAGAGAAAGAGGCTGTTATGATGCACAGGCCAGAGATGTAATTTGATCTTCCTTATCTGAAAAGATGAGAGGTTTGTGCTGGGCTGATGGATGCCGCAGTGGTGAAAATTTGGCATTTTTCTATATCTATGGAAATGCCACAGCCAATAGCGATTTTGCATTATTCTTTTTTTTTTGTTCTTTTGTTCTTTCATCATATGTAAACTAGTCAAATGCCATGTACTGTACTGGAATATAACTAGTCAAAACGCACTCGTGTGTGCGCGTAATATTCGTGGCACCAGGCATCAGGTGCTTCCCATAGTAGTTTCTATGTGCTATATTATGTGAAACAGAATTGACTAACATTTTCCATCAGTGCTACTTTGGCTCTCACTTGTACTCCCTCCGTCCAATCTTGATGAGGATGGGACATTACCTAGGATAACGAATTTGTTCAGATTCGTTGTCATAGGTTACGTCCCATCCTTACCAAGGTTGGGTTTTTTTTTTTTTTTGGACGAAGGAGTAGCGTTTAAGGGGAAAAAAAAAGGAGTGTAGACAGACTAAAATAAGTCAAAATGTGGCCTTCAATGCTAAGTAGTTTAACAAACAAAAAGCAAAGCAAAAGGATAGCACGTAAAACAGCTTTCACATTGCAGTGCTAGAAGATGACTTTTCAGGAATTATTGAAATGTCAAAAGTGTGACCTCTCGAGAGGAATTTGACCCTACCCACCAAACCAGAGGCCAGGGCATATATGAGGCAGGAGACGCGAATTGGAAGAGCAATTTAACACAGTTTTGTCTTTTTCGGAAACTTTAAATTCAAAATATGTAATTAAAAAAAATCTTTTTTCTGTGTGTTCTTCTGGATCTTTATCTCCATATACAGTCCAAATATAGGATTCTAAACGCAATCCTCAGATCAAATATTGAATTCAATTGCACATTCCAAATCAATCTCCAATCTGAAATTCTGTAAAGTTCTAAATTCCCTGTTCTTCTTCTTGGGCTGAATCTTTTCCCAAGCCAAGCAGCCCATCCATCCTTTTTTTTTAAAAAAAAATTTGCTTTCCAGCCAGAGGCCCACTGCCTTTTTCCTGGCCCAGCCCAAGCCTAGGAAAATTGGAATTGGAACAGTGTTCAATAATTTATATTTTATACTCCCTCCGGTTTCATTTTAATTGACGCTTTGGATAATGACACGCTCTACAAGATATATCTTTGACCTTATTTTTCTATTATAATATATACAATAAATAAATACATGTTTATTTTTATTATAGTGTTTTGAAAGACAAATCTATATATGTTTTTCTAGTTTCTTTAAACTAAATATTTTTAAAGTTATTGATGGTCAAAGTTATAAAAGTTTAATCTCAATCTTGTCCAAAACGTCAATTAATATAGAACCAGAGGGAGTACATATTTTGGGTAAATGATCCATGAAATGGTTGCATTAGAAACTAATGTGAGTTTGACGCATCCCATTTGATATCTTTGTATCCGAGAATCAACAAATTCTATTCCGCATTTTTGGCAAAATCTTTCATCTCCGTTTTCAGCTCCGCTCGCTCGAGAATTTCCACAAGCACAAAATCTGCTTTTTATGGGTCCAAAGATTCTTTCGCAAAACAATCCATCTTTTTCTCGTTTATCGGTTTTAAAATGAAAAGTGGAGGGCCTTGTGACTTCGCCAACGACTTACCCATTAGGTTGCGTTTAGTGTTTTGTTAGCCCAAGCCTTTATTTGTTGAGGGGAAACAAGGCCAATTTGAAGTTGTTGGTGTTTATATTGGTCAATCATAAAATATAAATAAGAAAAGAATTTATATTTATTCCGATCAGACTTTTTCCCTATTAACCTGGAAGTTCTTCTGAGATACAAGGAAATGATTCAGTTCTAGAGCCAAAGATCGTATGATAACTGTGATTGAAGATTATTCTGTACACTGTCACACTATTTTCAGATCATATGTAGCAGTTAAGGTTGAGAAGAATTCAACTTGATTAACTTATCAGTACAATGGATAATGTTGATGCAACCAACATAACTACTTCTACAACAAGTTGCATGAATAAATCATTGTTAGCAAGTTTATATAGTTACTTGTGTTAGGAAACGATAAGCGAACAAACGATAAAGAACAATAGTTCAATCACAGAAGACACGAGATTTAACGTGGAAAACCTTTCCAAAACAGGAGAGAAAAAACCACGGGCGCCAGCCAGCAAAATTCTTCACTATATCTGGGGTGAGGTTACATCGCCGCACGGCGGCTTACAGGAGGTATATATATAGTGGAACCCTAAAAGGGATTATGATCCATACCGCGGGGGCTCCGCCCCCGCACCCCCGGGCATCCCCAGGCGCACAGCCCAATGGGCCAACTTCAGCCTTCGCTCCGCTACGGCAGAAGCTGGCCTTTATTAAGTGTAAATAAATTTGGATCACAACTCAACAACTTGAAAAGTTGGCAATCATAGAAACCTGAATGTTTAAGTGGCAACTTGGAGTAAACAAATACTCTTGGACAATCACATCCTTTTCGAGGGAATGTTTACGACATTAATCTACTACTTCAGTAATCTGATGGAGCCATCTGAACAACTCTAGAATGGATCAAAAACTCTGGTATGGATCAAAACAAGAGTATTTTTTCTAGGTCATGCAACTAGAGAGCCCTGGCAACTTGCAGGTAGTTTATCAGGAAAGAATGTTCAGAGAAGCATCGTTAGCCTGAAGATCATTTCAGGCAACAGGAACAGTTAGAAATCAAATTCAGGCTTGCAAATCGTCATGGTGGGTCACTGAAATGTGCAGGTTGACAAAACAGATGATGAGCACTCAAGAACACTCCCAAGAACACACAGCTTGAATTCGATGACTTGAAGGTTGTCAAACATAAACCTTCTGCAGGCACATGGTGCACCATAATTTTGTGGCTGCAGAGTTAGTGTGCTGTTGCAATGAACCTGAATTAAAATCGGAGTATGTAATTTTAAAAAAGTGATTCTTTTGGTGTTACATGGATCTTAATCTTAGTCCAGTTCAAATCTAAAATTCTAATCCCAATCCTCAAAACAAATATAAAGTTCAATTATACATCCCACACCAATCTCTAATCTGAAATTCAGTAAAATTATAAATTCCCTGTTCTTTTTCCTAGGCCAAATCTTTTCCCCAGCCAAACAGACCATACATTATTATTAGCTTGTTTGCACTAAAGGCCCACAACAAATGGTCAAGCCCACAAAAAATGGAAATGGAACAGTAAATGGAAGTCAAATGGTGTTGAATGGTTTATCCACACAATGCCTGTCTCTGAAATCTTTATTCATCTGCAATGACAAATACATCTAGAGAGTAAAGAGAAAGGGATAACCCTTTTCTGCAATCCTATGTACAGATTCTACACCAAGCCATTTTCACTACTCTACTGTGTATGTCACACCCCTAATCAAATTTTCCAATCAAATACAAAATGTATGCACAGCTACTACTCCAGCAGAGGAAAGAATATGTCACCTCTTTACAAGTTATTTGCCACACTGCATTCAGTAGTAATCGCTATCTAGCAAGTAGCAACACAAACATCATCAATATCAATATCAATATCAATATCAATATCAATATCAAGATCAAGATCATTATTGGGGGTTCCACATCTGTGACAGGCCACTCTCCTGTCCCCAATCTGGGGAGAGCTCCAGCTTTGCAGTGTTGCTGTTGTGCAGTACCCTGATGGCCTTCTTCTCTGCAGAGGTGTCCATGGCCAGCAGGTCCCCAAAGCTGATGGAGCCCTTCATTGGCAATGCCGGCAGGCCGGAGAAGCAGGACACTTGCTCGTAGCTCCCGACCATCGATGGCGTCGTCGTCGGTGCGCTATCGAAGGCGATGTAGGCATCGATGAGGGGCGGGAGCGAAGGCGTGGCAGGCAGGTCTAGCTCATTGGGCAGTGTGACGGCCTCTTCAGATGATGGGCTTGGAATTGTTTGTCTGGTCTTGTAGAACACCCTGCATAGCACCCAGTCCTCCTGTATTTTGTTTTCGTGTAATTAGGTGATGTTCATGTTTAACATGGTATTAAGTGCAAATGATCTATGAAAGGTTAAAATTGTAATAAGTAATAACTGTAACTGAACATTATTCTGTAGAGAATCAAATCATTTTCAGGTCATATGTAGTGGTTAAGGACAAGAAGACTTCAAATTTCATTAACTTATTAGCACGATGGATAATGCTGATGCAACCAACATAACAGACTCTGCAGCAAGTTGCATGAGGAAATCATTGTTGGCAAGTTATATAGTTGCTTGATGAGTTAGCAATCATGGAAGCCTGAATGTTTTAAGTGTCAACTTGGAGTAAACAACCACGATAAGACAGTCAAATCCTTTTGGAGGGAATGTTTATGACATTAATCTAGCTCAGTAATCTGATGGAGCCAGCTGAACAACTATGGACTGGATCAAAAGAAGACTAAACTTTTTGTAGGGTCATCCAACTAAAACTAGAGCCCTGGCAACTTGCAGCTAGTTTATCAGGAAAGAATGTTGAGAGAAGCATCGAGTTAGCCTGAAAACGAACAGTTAGAGACCATATTGTTACAAAATTCAGGCTTTGCCAATTGCCATGGTAGGTGACGGCAACACGCATATGATGACACAACAGATGATGATGAGCTCACTGGAGGTAGCAACATGACAATAAAAAAAGTCTAATTTTTTCCCCTAAAAGCTGATTTTTTTTTCTATTTGTAACAGAGCTTTCTAAACATGTATAATCTGACAGTGAGACAGGTATTCTCACTGTAGCAAACAGAAACATCTACAGCAACCAATCAATCTTTTCATTTCCCCCTATCTTTTAATAAAGTTCATGACAGTTTGTGAAAACAAAACAGAAAAAAGAAAAGAAACTCAGCATCATCTTTTTTCCCCTAAAAGCTGTTTTTTTTTCTATTTGTAACAGAGCTTTCTGAACATGTATAATCTGACAGTGAATTCTTTGACAGGCATTCTCACTGTAGCAAACAGAAACATCTACAGCAACCAATCAATCTTTTCATTTCCCCCTATCTTTTAATAAAATTCATGATAGTGTGTGAAAACAAAACAGAAAAAGAAAAGAAACTCAGCATCATTTTTTTTCCCTAAAAGCTGATTTTTCCCCCCTATTTGTAACAGAGCTTTCTGAACATGTATAATCTGACAGTGAGTTCTTTGACAGGTATTCTAACTGTAGCAAACAGCAACCAATCTTTTCATTTCGCCCCTATCATTTTAATAAAACTCAGCATCATCTTTTTTTCTTCAGAAAAAAAAAAGAAAACTCAGCATCAATCTTCTTCCTCCGAACATGAACACGAAAACGGCGTGCTCTGATCTTGTCGGATCCACGCAATCCGAACGAAGAACAACAACAAAAAAAAAAGAAAAACAGAAGAAGAGAGAAGAAGAAATTCAGAATCTGTCTTCACCTTGAGGTGGAGAGGCTGCGGTTCGAGCCGGAACTCGTGCATGACCCACTCGGTCTTGCGGCCCTTGGGGGCGCGGCCGCGGTAGAAGACGAGCGTCTTGCGCATGCCGACGGCGGCGGCGGCGGCGGAGGAGGAGGGCTCGCCGGAGGAGATGGAGGAGCGGCGGGTGATGGAGCGGTCCTTGCCGGTGGCCTTCCAGTAGCCGGAGCGGGTGGCGCGGTTGGTGCGGTGGCCGGTGGCGTACTTGCGGTCGCGGAGGCTGAAGAAGTACCACTCCTTGCCTCCCACGCACGCCGCGTCTGCAAACAATGGCGGCAGAGAATTGAAAGATCGATTGGAAAAGACAAGAGAAGATGATCATGAACTCATCAGACGAAGATCGAATTGGGAAGAGGAGATGATTGAACAGCTCGGTGTCGTGGTGTAGTTGGTTATCACGTCAGTCTAACACACTGAAGGTCTCCGGTTCGAGTCCGGGCGACGCCATTTTATTTTTTGTTTCATTGAAGTATAAATCTTCGTGTTATGTTTTATTCCATCTTTTTCATCAAAATCTGAATCTGTGTTTATGTTTTATTCATCATTTTCATTTTTAATTTATCTCTTCTTATGTTTTGTTCCATCTTTTTCATCAAAATCTGAATCTGTGTTTATGTTTTATTCATCATTTTCATTTTTAATTTATCTCTTCTCTTCAATTCAAAATATATGATTTTATTCATCATTTCATTTTTCTTTTATCTCGTATCTTCAATTCAAAATATATGATTTTATTCATCATTTTCAATTTTTTATCTCTTCTCTTCAATTTAAAATACATGAGAAATTCTTTTCTGTTACAATTTTATCATCTTTTTTCATCAAAATCTGTGAGAGGCCACTTTTGTGTTACCTTTTTCATCATTTTCTTCAAAACCTGTGAGAAGCCACTCTGCTTCACTTTGATGGAAATTCTTCTTTATTTCCAACTTTTGAAGATAAAAAACCAAATCTTACAATTTTTTGCCATCTTTTTCTTCGGAAAGAGTCCATCTCTTTTTTTTCTTCAAAATGACAAATGTCATGTGAAGGAAAAGATTCCATTTCCCAGAAAGAAGCTAGATAAACAACACGAACCAAACAAACACCACCAATAATTACCCCCAAAAACCTAAGAACAGGGACCAATCAACAATACCAATAATGGAATTTAAATCTTCTTTCTCGAAACGAATCAACCAACAACATCCCAACACAAGAAAATATTCCTTCCCCCCCTCTTTCTTTCTCCAAGAAAATCAATAATCAATCGATCGATCAAAACGCATATAAGCATATACAAACCTGGAAGGTCCCATGGCTCGCACTTGTTGAGGTCGACGTCGACGATGGCGACGCCGCCGCCGCCGCCGTACACCCCTCCTCCCCGGCCGCCGGCGGCGAGCTTGTGCAGGAGGTAGTCCAGCACCAGCTCGTCGTCCCTCGGGTGGAACCTGAACCCCGGCGGCATTCTCGCCTCCACCATGCCTATGAAACTCATCTCCTCCTCCACCTCAATCACACCAAGAAGAAGAAGAAGAAGAAGAAGAAGAAGAAGAAGAAGAAGAGAGAATAGCAAGCTAATGGCGAGCTCGGCGGCTACGCGTGGTAGCGGTATTAATACTACTCTCGCCGGTCAACTAGAGCTAGAGGCTAGTATATAGCAATAGCAACTGATGGGTTTTTCATGGATAATATGCAACTTGCCGGGTTTAATTTGGGAGTGTGCTTACGGATTAAGGATTTGGATGTGAGCTAATTATATGCTACTAGTACGATTCTGTTGCTGAATATATAAACCGGTCTAAATGGTTTTCAATATATATTGCTTGTTGTTTCAGGGTTGCATTGCATTGCATTGCATGAGCTGGAGCTGTTAATTAGTAGCTATAGCTCAGTCAGGTCAGAATGGAATGTGCGTATGTCACAATCCATTTTTATATTTTACATGATGGTAATTAATAATAGAGAGAATCCACTCAGTGCCACTGAGTTTCTACCACTTCTACAATATACCACTGACTTTGTCAAATTGAATAATATGCCATCGAGTTTTCCCAAACGTCTACTGCGTGCCATCGCCGTCCACAAGCCGTTAGGGTGCATCCGTTTGGTGTATTGAATTTTTTCTTAATGACTAAAATGCCCATGACTAATAAACCCTAGCACCTGTTTTAGTAAAATATTTTGGTATTCATTTCTATATCTATATGAGCTCAGTGCCATGCACCATGTTCAAACTTGTTTTATATCTAACTGTATGGGGTTGATTTTTTTTTTCATTATGTACATTTATTTTTTTCCGATATGTCCCATTTCAAAGTCAACAGATCACTAGTTCACTACGTCTCTACCAACGCGTGAAGCTAGCAATCATAGGCTGTTATATGATTCAATCAGTTTCTCTATATGTATTCATATAATACATATGTCCCTCGGCAAAAAAAAAAACATGTACAATGAGTTAGGGGCAAATAGGTCTTTTTACAGCTCTAACAGATGCCCAACTAACAGCTTCTGGACTGTGATGGCACGCAGTAGACGTTCGGGAAAACACGATGGCATATTATTCAACTTGACAAAGTCAGTGGTATATTGTAGAAGTAGTGAAAACTCAATGGCACTGAGTGGATTCTCTCTTAATAATATGTCCTAATCATTAATGACTATGATATAGTACTCCCTCCGTCCTAAAATATAACAACTTTAGCCTTTAGAATTTGTTTCAAAATATAACAATTTCTCCACCAACATTCTATTCTCAACCAATCACAACCCTCCACCATTCAATTTCCTCACCAATCTCCACTTCTCAACCAATGATAATCTTCCACAATTTCTTTTTACATACTTTCTTAGTAACCGTGTCTAACTCTAATACTTATATTTTAGGACGGAGGTAGTACATATTTTCCTCTTTTTCTCTAAAGATATATAATTCATCTGCCCTAAAAATATAACAACAATTTAAAATTCAAAATTTGTTCTAAAATAACACCTTAGTTAATACTTGCAAAAGGTAAAGCAAAGATCAAAATAAATTCCATTATTAAAAAACTTGTACTATTAAACTACCCACACTACCGCATGGTTATATTATAGCCCTAATTAATCTGGATCTATACCTCACTCATCCCAACAAGGCAACCAATTTGTTTTACTACTCTTCTTACTATTGGTGTCAAAGATTAAAATTTACTACTACCTCCATCCTAAAATATATATATCAGATGGGACACGTATATACAAGTATATTACGAATCTTGCTAAGAAGTCTGTCTAGTCTAAATTTACAGTATTAGAATATGTTCTCTCCAATTCTAGATTCTTATATTTCGGCGTGGAGAGAGTATATTTTAGAACAGACAGAGAGTACAAGATTCCATATTATCATTACAATTTTGGCTACTAATGCGTGAGGGCCGCAACACATGCATGCATATAGATTGGTCAAGCTATGGCCTATAGCTACATTAAGATTAGATTTGGGTGGAAGAATAGTAAGCATAGATCGGTTAGCTGAAGGGGTGTGTGATCGATGGAGCTGGCCATAATTAATAAAGAGCTAGTCAATCTATATAGTATAAAATTTCAAATATTCTGATAAGGAACAATTAATTGTTCTAAATCATCCTTCGAAATGAATATATATTCTCGTAAAAAAATGAAGATATATATTTTATTCACATTATGACCTTTCAAGCTCGAGGGGAGTTGAATTGTACATTATCCTCACGTGTCCACGCACAAGTTTGAGTACACTTGTACTTGACGACTTTGGACGCCTATGTCTTCTTTTTTTATTCTAATAAATGAACTACCAAGTTCTTATTTTTTTTCTACATGATTATTTATTAATTTACACAATTATATTATTTTTACTATATTAATAATCAAGATGAAAAAACAACATATTTCAATTCCTCACATACATACCAATTAATATATTTCGGTTCCTCGCATGATCGTTTTGTTTCTAGCTGATAAGCCAAAAAAATGTTATATATAAGCTAAAAAAATAATTTGTGAACAAAAATTTTATATTTATTTTATGTAATTTAAAAGTCAATGCTTAAAAATAAACTAAGCTAAAAAAGATTCCAAAATCAACTCAAAAAATTAGTTTTAATATTTAGATTTTGGCCGCGACTTACAAGCTGAAAAGCAAATGACAGAAAGTGCTGGTGAATACTAAATATAGTAAGAAATAAAGAGAAGTAACAAAAGAAGATAAAGTCACCAGCTAGGAATGAAGTAAACTGCGCTATACCTGTTCTTGTCAAAATTAGGTAGTGTTGGCCAGATCAAACAGATGGAGCCTTATGCGTACGTGGAGATGCATGCATCTTCACCGATCGTAAAACCACCTAATTAAAAGTTGAAATTGAAATAGTATGGATATTACTCAGTCACACCTTAAATTTTCTTTTAGGAGAATTCCAGAGCTTTCATTAACCTATAGGAGAGAACAATATAATTAGTACATGAGAACCAGCCTACGAGAGACAATTGAATGATTCAAGAAGCTGTATACTCTCATCCAACCAGCCTAGTATAGACCAACTAAAATAGCTGCCTTGGCACAGCAAGGGGTTAACTACAATTAATCAACTGAACTAAATTTGAGGTGGTTGTATATGTACATGAATATATAAATTCAAACTAGTTAAGCTGCAATTGGGATCTACATATAGATACTTATATGTATATAGCAAATTTGTACTGAAAATCCTGCGGCACGCAGATGCAGATTGATATGCATGCGTACTAATTAATTAATTATTCATATGTACAATGTTGTAAACTATTACATACACCATCTGTTTTTAATAAACTATACGTCGTTGATTTTTACACATACATTTGACCATTCATCTCACTAAAAAAATTACATAATTATTATTTATTTTGTTGTGGTCCGTTTTACTATATTATAAAGACACTTTTATGACTTGTGCATTTTTTATTAGCACAAAACTTTAAATAAAACAAATGATTAAACATATATATGTCTAAATGTTACTTTGTATATATAGGCCGAGTTTAGTTCCAAAATCTTTTCCGTCACATCGTTCTAAATTCAACCAAACTTTCAATTTTAGCGTGAACTAAACACACCCATACGCAATGCGTATGTATGCGTACATGTGTAGTATACGCTTGTTTGGGGAGCGTGCCGTGCCGTGCCGTCCGGAATACGGTATTTAATCGTCGTCGTCTCTCTCGGATCATATCAGTATTCAGTTCAGTTCAGTTCGCTGCAAGCCTCTCTCTTTATCATGCCATCAGATCAACTCGGCCCAACTGCTCGATATCGATATATCATATCCATCGGAAATTCGATGGGAACGATATATATATCATCAATAATTTTTAGCAGCAAAAATGTTTGCGGCAGAGGTTAATTTGGACGTCATAGTAGTGCAAAAGATAGGGGAAAAAGACATGCATGTTGTGCATTATTGATAGAGCTGAATTTATACCGCACGTACCACATTTATTGAGGTGGATATTAATTTAAATTGGTGGCACAATTTTCTGGTCTTAATTAAATAGGTCGTTATATATATATGGAGCATGTCGACAAACAAGTAATAAATTGTTATAGTCAAATTTGTCGCCAAATGAAATGGCAGAAAATTTTCTATGGTTGGTGTGGAACTTGTTGATATATATCCCTTTTCAGACACTCGAGAAATGTCATTCTCTCTCTCTCCGTTACACTATTTGCATCCTTGTCCCTTTGCCGCTCCACTAAGTCAAAAGTTGGTTATTGACAGTCAATTAATAAAAATACCAAGAATCATGTAAAAATCTAAAAAAATATATAAAAGTATCATTTATTCTTTTTTTTTAAAAAAGAGCATGACAACTATCATAAAACGCGTGTTCCATGTGCAAATATTCTCATGAATTGGTGTAATATAGACATGCAACCTCTGGTGGACAAGTTCTCCCATCGCCTCCCTTCATGGAAGGGTCAGCTCACCAACTTAGCCAGCCGTTATGTGCTTATACAGTCCATGCTTTGTTCTATTCCGATCCATGTCTCCATGGCAATCGGACTACCAACCTGGGTCATCAAGGCCTTTGATAAGAAGCGCTGTGCTTTCCTGTAGTCGGGGACAGATTCGGTTCAGGGTGAGCGTTGCCTTGTGTCTTGGACGAATGTCAGCCGCCCTAAAGTCGTCGGTAGCCTGGGCATCTCGGACTTGCGGACGGCGGTTTTCGCTCTCCGCATGCGCTGGCTCTGGCTTCTGCGCTCTATCCACCCCTACTGAGCCGACCTCAAGTCACCCCTTGAGCGGACCGTCTTTGACATGTTTGTGGCTTCCACCTTCCTCATGCTGAGTGATGGCGAGTCGACCCTCTTATGGTTGGACCAGTGGATTCAGGGCCGCTCTGTGATATCCCTGGCTCTGGATCTCATCCTAGCTACCCCCTCGCCTCTAGGCGACGCACACGGTAGCCTCCGCTCTTGTTGACAACTCTTGGGTGGGTCACATCTGTGGCCCCCTCACAGTCCCCGTCATCTCCCAATTTCTGTTAGTATGGGATGCGGTGCAACTCGTCCATCTCACTCCGAGCACTGAGGATTGTCTTGTCTGGCGCTGGACAAGCAACTAGCGTTACTCCCCCGCCTCACCTTACCACACCTTCTTCGTGGGGCATCACTTTTTCCCTTGTGTCGATCTGCTTTGGTAGGCTAAGGGTCCTGTCAAGTGCAAGATTTTCCTTTGGCTTGCGTTCCAGCAGTGTTGCTGGATGACAGATCT